CCAAACCAATGACCCAAGGTTTTATAGAGGAACAAGATACACTAAGAGGAAGTATCATGTTCAACATGATATTGTCCGGCAAGAAAATGTACTTGTAGCTAGAACATTGCATTGGAACACAACTTTGTTGATCCATTATCAAAGGTGTCATTGATCAATAATTTTGATCATCATCCGGATAATATTGGAGTTAGGTGCAATTTGAATTAGCTATGAGGGCAAGTGTGAGCTGTTGGGATTTATATGCCCTGGCATAGCAAATTCCTGTTTGGATTAAAGTGACATATGTTCCTGACGTTTATGAAATATTTATGTTTTATACAATTGGTGAATTCAATGTATTATATTTCGATTCATTGTAGAATTGATAGTGTCCATTTGATTACAAGAGATATTTATATATATGTTTGTGATGGCAATCAATGCATGATATATAAATAGTAATCATAAATGGTTCATAGTCGGTAATTATGGATGGACTCATAATTAATTAAGATTTGAACTGGATCCGCGTTAGATTGAGATATATTGCGAGAGTCGTCGTATGCAATTGCTCCCTATCACCGTCATGGCATTTGACTCTTAAGTATGAGAAAATTATAGACTCTTTTATTAATTAATAATTACTTTGATTTGTTCGGCGGATTCTTCGGGATCCTTAGATCGACACTTTGGGTAGTTATGTAATTAATAGTTAGAGGGTTATATTTTCAATATTTGCATCATTGCTACTTGTATTTATTTTGTATTGATTATGGTTGATCACAAAGTAAATTCGAAGGCCTTCGTGTATTTTTAGACAAAATGATTTATTATATATTTATTTATTTAAATTATTATTTTTGTCAAACAAATGTTTTATTGTGATCGAGCCAGAAATAATCAAAGGTACCAAAATAGATATATTAATTAAGTAGTCGGATTGATGGCTTTATTTATCCGATAACTAATTATGCATAGAGGGGTCAAAGTGCAATATTGACTTAGAGGTTATTTATTATTTAATTGGAGTTCAATTAATTTCTTTTAGTGGAGTAGAAAATAATTTATGAATTAATTGAATTGGGCCATGGACCGGGCCAATTATTAATTCATTATAGCCAATAAAATAATAGGCCCAATGGATTCTCACTCATAGCCCAACTTGATATTGGAATCATATTAGATTTGAGACATATGAATTAGAGATGGAGAAGGATTTGTTGTTTCCTTTTCTTTATTTTTATGTTACCTATAAATATACATGGTCTATGTATATTTTAGGGGTGATTTTTTTTTTTTTGAAGAAGGAAAAAGGAATTTATTTTCTCTCTCTAGAAAATTAGGGTTTATGTTCTCATCTAATGGAGGCTCCCACAAGCCTAGTTTTCCAAGGTAATTCATGGAGGCTTATGAGTGATTCCTAAAGGCAAAATAATTACCAAGAAGATGGAGATCCAAGGAGAAGGCATCTTGCTAAGGGATCTACAATAAGTGAGAACATTCACTTTAGAGGAAAGTTTTAAAGGTTTACTCAGACCTTTGATGTAAGTATTCAATCCATTAATTGAATGATACATCATATTTTTATTTTTGCTTAAAACTTATCTCTATGTGATGAATCAAGATCTATGAATCAAAATCCCTCGAAAAGTTTTTAAAACTTGCACGTTTCCCAACATTAACGTCATTCTCGGGATGGACTGGTTGTCTTTCTTTCAGGTTAGGATCGACTGCTTTTGAGGGAGAGTGTCTATTTGCACTCCCAAATGAGATTGTTTTCATTTTGTGGGAGACCGGAGTGATTCCCACCCTAAGATTGTTTACAGCATCGGTGAATGGAGTTGCCACAGGTCTTACTTGGCTAGTTTGCTAGTCGAGGAAGACAGGAGTTTGGGTTATATTCTTCCGGCAATTGTTAAGGAGTTTCTTAATGTCTTTCCAGAGGAGTTTACAGAGTTACCCCCTATACGGGAAGTGGTGTTTGCCAATGATTCATATAAAGGGTATGGTCTGTATGGAAGACAGATGACAAAAACTATAAAAGCAGAAAATGGTCATAGATAGAAAAATTTGTGAAACAAGAGTTACGTGAGGTGCGGAAACAGTTGTTGATTGTGATTAACTCCTTTAATGACCTAGATCTGATTATTAGGTCAACTTGCTCAAGTTATGATTGATAAAATTATATGACAAAATTAAACATCTATAATCACACATATATGAAAAGTAAAGCAAGTTGGAGTTAGAGAGATTGCACTAGGATTTTAGCAAGGAAATCATAGTTGATAAAATACGTCAACTGTTATGGGAAAAACCTCGTGGACTGTTTAGTCCAAAGTAAATCGATCCACTATGTTTGAAACAAGGTAGACCGAACTTTGACTCTGCCTCACACCCTATCGTTCTATACCACACCAACTGCTGACGATCCTCTGGCTTTGTAACTCCTTGTCCAATAACAACTTGACCTCAAGCTTACACTTGATATTTGTAAAAGAGTAACAGGTAGATCAGACAATACTCCTCGAATGCTCCAACCCTTTCAAAGTGTGACTGCATTTACTTCTGTTCTTCAAGATCTGAACACGATTATAGAATAATTAAATCCTGCTGATCATTCGGAATATCTGAATCTTCAATACAACTCCAATTTTGATGAGATAGAGAACACTACAACTAAATCACTCGTGAATATATATGTGTGCTCTCAAAAATAAATTCAGAATAATCAGATTTGATTTTCTGAATTTTTCTCTCTCTGAAGGCTTTCTTAAAATATAGAATTGATTTTCCCTAAAGTCATGAATAAACCAATGTATATGACATAGTTTATATAGAGTTTTGAAAGTCCTAATCCCTCAGAAAATATGATAAATTTCATGTATAGAACTTGGAAGGAAGCTGGGATAAAAAAGGAAACATCAGAAGATGGAAACTTGGAAACCTGATGCATCTAGGACTTCTTGAACAGGTTCAGCCATCTTGAATTGGTTCAAGATGGCCAGTAAGGAATCAGACGAATTCTTGAACCGGTTCAGCCCTCTTGAACCGGTTCAAGATGTCCAGTCTTGAAACTTTGGCTGTTCTGTTGATGTTGAACCTGTTCGATTATTCTTGAACCAGTTCAAGATGGACAGAATGTAAAATCTTCTTCTAAAATATCCAAAACCCTTCATAAATGTTCTCGATCACTACCTCTCAAAATTTCTTATAACATTGTTCTCATCATCTCGGAGTGTAGTATATCATAAACACTTGAACTTCTTCAAATCCGCATCCGATCTTCAATCTTTGAATTGTTGAACCGAAAAATTACAACTCGATCAGACTTGTTTTGACATCGAAATTAGCCAATTACAAAATATATATCTCACAATCTCCCCCTCTAGCAATTTCGTGACAAAACCCTAAAACAATTCAGCAATTTACCCAAGCAGGAAAGTAAATTACATAAAAAGTTAAAGGAAATAAAACGCGAAAATTTTCTGGAACCTTATGAAGCTTCAACACATGTAGCAACCTGTAATCTGCACAGTAGCTCAAACACAACTACCTGTAAAGTTTAATCAAGAAAATAAACACAAGCATAAAATCACAAAGTTAATAATGCCTGAATGTCAATGCAAGTTAAATGTGCAATGATCAATGGTTCCCCCCTCAATGCAAAAAATTATCCCCCTTATTGCACAAGTATCTTTCCTTAATGTACAAGTATCTCAACTATCTCCCCCTTTTTGTCACAAATTAACAAGGGCCGTAAGGAAGAAAAATCCTAGGAGTAGGAAACGACCAACCATATAAATCTTGTAAATTGAAACGAATGAGATTATAGACTCCACAAGATTATATATAACAACAAAAATAACCAAGATCAATTCTTTTAAGTTCTACAAACTTAGTAAGTGTAGTAAAATCACCACCAAGTTCCAAAAACATATGATCTGTTAATTGTTCAGATTTCAGATAATAAATCAATGATATCACATCTCCATAGAAATCAAAAAATCAACATGTGCAAAAGATATATTTTTTTATCTCTCTTTGTGCTCCATTTTTCTTTTTGCACATTGGCGACTTTCACACTTATGGGCAGCCAGCTCTTTCCCTTATTCCCATTTGTTTCGAGTCAAGGTAGCTTTCAGATAAATCCTAAAGGTAGCCTTTTCCATCTCACCTTTTTCTAAACAACAAATATTTTTCTTTCTTTTTCAAAAACTTTTTCTTTCCAAGTTGTTTTTCAATTTTCTTTTCTTTTCACTCTTTTGGTATAAAACACATAAACCAAGTTTAAATTCCAAGATAATGATCAATCATATCAACATTAGCTTTGACCAAAATAATGACATCTAACACAAGTAAATGTACTATCAATGATTCATTTACTATATGAAATAAGTAAGCAAAACCAATTTCATCAATTCATAGCCATTGTATGCTTTCCACAGATAATCTATGTGTCATTAAACTCCTTGTGTTCAACATATTCAATCAATATGGTTTGCTTAACTTCCTAAAAACATAATCTAGACTCTCAAGATATGCATGATGATCCTTTATAGACTATGTCTTTGTAATGCATCTAATCAAGACAACAGACACCAATAGATTTCCTAAAATGAGAAAACTTAGGAGCATCTAATGGTTTAGTGAGAATATCAGCCAAATTCTGATTAGTATGCACTTTTTCCAAAGACACGGCATTTTGTTCAACAAGTTCCCTAAAAAAGTGATGTCGAATGTCAATGTTTAGTCCTAGAATGCAAAACTGGATTCTTTGAAATATTAATTGTATTAGTATTATCACAAAAGATAGAAATAGTACATTGATCAACTCCATAATCCAGGAGTATCTGTTTCATCCAAAGCAATTGTGTGCAACAAATTCCAGCAGCAATGTATTCAGCCTTACAAGATGATAAAGATATGCAATTTTGCTTGTTGATGTACCATGAAACAAGATTAGTACTAACATAGAGATAACCACCTGAAGTACTCTTTCTATCATCCTTGTTTCCAGCCTAATCAGCATTAGTATAGCCTGCAATCTCAGAGTTAGACTCAGAAGAATAACGCAATCCATAATTCAATGTACTATTGACATAACGAATAATGCGCTTGACTGCAAGAATTTGTTGTTCTCTAGGATCAGCTTGATACCTAGCACAAACACCTACACTAAATGAAATATCTGGCCTAGTTGCTGCCAAATACAACAAGCTACCAATCATACTCCTATATAAGAAATGATCAACCTTGTTAGGATTAGAGTCTCAATCTAATTTGGATGAAGTACTCATAGGAGGTTGAATATGCTTTGAATCTTTCATACCAAACTTCTTAACTAGCTCCTTTGCATACTTTGATTGAGATATAAAAATCCCATCATCAAGTTGTTTCACTTGGAGACGTAGAAAGAAAGTCAGTTCACCAACCATGCTCATTTCAAAAGTTTTACTCATAACTTTAGAAAAAGTATGAACAAGGTTATCACATATAGCACCAAAAATAATATCATCCACATATATTTGAGCAATAAGAAAATCTTTTCCTTTTATGAAAATAAACAATGTTTTATATGCCCCTCCTCTTCTGAAGCCCTTGTGCAATAGATAAGTAGTTAACTTCTCATACCATGCTCTAGGTGCTTGCTTTAAACCACAAAGAGTCTTTTTAAGATGAAAAACAAAATCAGGATAATGTGGATCAATAAAACCTTTTGGTTGTGCTACATAAACTTTTTCATACAAAATACCATTTAGAAAAGCACTTTTAACATCCATTTGAAACAATTTGAATTTAAAGTGACATGCAAAAACAAAAAGAAATCGAATAGACTCAAGTCTAGTAACAGGTGCAAAAGTCTCATCAAAATCAATTCCTTCAACTTGAGTGTATCCTTGTGCAACTAATCTAGCTTTATTTCTCATCACAAGACCATGTTCATCAAGTTTATTTTTAAAGATCCATTTGGTCCCTATGATATTAACATCACTAGGTCGAGACACTAGTTCCCAAACATCGTTCTTCACAAATTGAAGCAATTCTTCTTGCATAGCCATAAGCCAATCAGAACTTTGAAGAGCTTCATCAACATTCTTAGGTTCAAACTGAGCAATGTGACATGAGTGAACAATATCATCTACAATGCATGAGTGTCCTACATCATCACGGACTGTACTCCTAGTACCATGCTTATCCCATGGACCTATCACATTGTCAATTGAGTGACTCAATCTAACTCTAGAACTGTTAGATGTGGGAATATCTAGAGATGGTGCAGGAATTCCTATAGGTTCATCAGTGTTGACCTCTAATTCCTCATCCTCATCTTTTTCAACTTCTTCACCTTCTCCACCTAAAACCTCAACTCTTCTTCTTCTTGAATTGTAGGTTCTTTCCTTTCTCCTACAATTTCAAAATTAGTTTCTTCTTCATCAAGTTAAAAAGAGGTTATTTTAGATTTTGTATCATCAAAAACCATATTTATAGACTCTATGACCACTTTGGTTCTAAGATTAAAAACCCTATAAACCCGACTAGTTTGTGAATAACCCAAAAACACACCTTCATCACTTTTAGCGTCAAATTTTCCTAAGTGTTCCTTATCTCTAAAGATATAACATTTACTTCCAAAGACTCTAAAGTATTTAACAGTGGGTTTTCTATCATACCACAATTCATATGAAGTCTTGTTAGTTCCAGGCTTAAGATAAACTTTATTTAGGATATGACAAGCAGTACGTACTGATTTAGCCCAAAAGTGACTAGCAATCTTATTCTCTTGAAGCATAGTACGAGCCACACCTGCAATTGTCCTATTTTTCCTTTCCCCTACACCATTCTGTTGTGGTATTTTAGGTGCTGAAAATTCATACTTAATGCCATTCTTATCACAATATTCAATAAATTCCTTAGGTTTGAATTTACCTTCATTATCGCTCCTAATTCGATATCCCTTCTCATTTTGAATAAGTTGGCAAAGAGACCTGAAATTCACAAAAGTATCAGATTTTTCTCTCAAATATGCAACAAAAGTAAATCTAGAAAAATCATTAACCATAACAAGCAAATATCTTTTTCCTCCAATGCTATCAGGTGTTATGCGACCCATCAAATCCATATGAATCAATTCTAAAGGTCGAGTAGTGACTTTATGAATAAGTCTCTTATGTGACAATCTAGTTTGTTTTCCTAACTAGCATGGACCACATATTTTATTCTTAGGCATCTTCAATTTAGGCAAATCTCGAACAAGATCATTGTTAAACAAATTCACTAAATCAATATAATTCACATGTCCAAGTCTTTTATGCCATAATATAGCCTCATCAGTAACTGCAGAAAACACATCAGTGAAGGATTCGAAAACACAACATAGCAATTATCAGAAGTTCTAGTTCCTTTCAAGATGTATTCACCTTTTTCATTAGTTACAAAACATCCTTGTTGAGTAAAATTGACTTGAAACTCTTCATCACAGATTTGACTAATACTCAACAGATTAGTAGCTAAACCTTTAACATATAAAACATTTTTTAACTCCCCAATTCCTGGAAATTTGATCTTACTTTTGCCATTTACAGTAGAAGTTTTATCATCACCAAAAGTAATACTACCAACTGAGCATTCCTTAAAAGTGGTAAACAATGTTCTATCCCCTGTCATATGCCTAGAACAACCACTATTAAAATACCAACCATATGGACCAAGTGCTCTAAGTGCAGTGTGCATGGCCAGACACTTAAAATTTTCATTCTTTACCCAAATAATTTTAGATTCATTTTGCAATGATTTCCCTATTATTCTAGGTAAAGTGTCACAAGGCTCAATAGTCCTAATCCTCTTCTTCCTCAAATTTGAACTATCTAGATTTTTCAAATTCTTTCTTAGTTCAATTTTTCTTTTCTGTCACTTATACTTAATATGCCCTTTTTCACCACAAAAATGACATGTTGAAATAAATTTAGGAGAATTAGAAATAACACAAGGTTTGGTTTCAACTTCCACAAAAACATCCTTCGATTTTTGAAAATACAAATCCTTTGAAGTTGATGCCAAATCTTTGTTACTCATAACATTCCCAACCACTCCTTTCAACTTATTAATTTTGCAAGTGTCAATATCAATTTTTTGAAAAGACTGTTTTGATTTAACAAATTCACTACTCAAATTATCAATTTTAAGTTCCAGTGATTTATTAAACAAATTTACCTTATTAAGCTCCTTTTGCAGAAAATCAATTTTATGAAGAAAATTCAAATTCTTATGGCCAAGTTCTTCCAAATTTTTATTAGAGACAGAAACTTCTAACTTATAAATATCTCTATCAAGTTCCGCAAGATTCAATTCCTCTAACAAAATTTCAAAATCCTTTTAAAACTTGAATCACTCAATTTGCATGCTTGTGACAAAATAAAAAATAGGAGTTAAAGGCAACACATCAACAGATGAATTTTCAGACATAATACAAAAATCAACAAATAATCAACAACTATGATCTACTCTGTATATCGAGTATCTCGCTCTGATACCAAATTGTGAAACAAGAGTTACGCGGGGTGCGGAAACAGTTGTTGATTGTGATTAACTCCTTCAATGACCTAGATCTAATTATTAGGTCAACTTGCTCAAGTTATGATTGATAAAATTATATGACCAATTTAAACATTCACAATTACAAATATATGAAAAGTAAAACAAGTTAGAGTTAGAGAGATTGCACTAGGATTTTAGTGAGGAAACCCTAGTTGATAAAATATGTCAACTGTTATGGGAAAAACCTCATGGACTGTTTAGTTTAAAGTAAACCGATCCACTCTGTTTGAAACAAAGTATACCGAATTTTGGCTCTGACTCACACCCTATCGTTCTACACCACACCAATCGTTGACGATCCTCTGGCTTTGCGACTCCCTGTCCAACAGCAACTTGACCTCAGGCTTACACTTGATATTTGTAAAAGAGTAATAGGTAGATCAGACAACACTCCTCGAATGCTCCAACCCTTTCAAAGTGTGACAGCGTTTACTTCTGTTCTTCAAGATCTGAACACGATTGTAGAAGAATTAAATCCTGCTGATCATCCAGAATATCTGAATCTTCAATATAGCTACAATTCCGATGAGATAGAGAACACTACAACTAAATTACTCATGAATATATATGTGTGCTCTCAAAAATAAATTCAGAATAATCAGATTTGATTTTATAATTTTTTTTTCTCTCTAAAGGCTTTCTCAAAATATAGAATTAATTTTTCTTAAAGTCATGAATAAACCAATGTATATGACATGGTTTATATAGAGTTTTGAAAGTCCTAATCCCTCAGAAAATATGATAAATTTCGTGCATAGAACTTGGAAGGAAGTTGGGATCAAAAAAGAAACATCAGAAGATGGAAACTTGGAAACCTGATGCATCCAAGACTTCTTGAACCGGTTCAAGATAGCCAGTAAGGAATCCCACGAATTCTTGAACCGGTTCAAGATGGTCAGTCTTGAAACTTTGGCTGTTTTGCTGATGTTGAACCTGTTCGATTATTCTTGAACCAGTTCAAGATGAACAAAATGTAAAATCTTCTTCTAAAACATCCAAAACCCTTCCTAAATGTTCTCGATCACTACATCTCAAAACTTCTTATAGCATTATTCTCATCATCTCGGAGTGTAGTATATCATGAACACTTGAACTTCTTCAAATCTGCATCCGATCTTCAATCTTCGAATTGTTGAACCGAAAAATTACAACTCGATTGGACTTGTTTTGACATCGAAATTAGCCAATTACAAAATATATATCTCACAAAATTAAGTATGAAAAGATCTGGCAAAAATTTTAGAGAGAAAATAGAGAGAGAAATATGTAAATTGTTAGAGAGAGAGAAAAAGTGAAGAAAATGTCGGATAGAGAGAGTTGAGACGTAGAGAGAGAAAGTGAAGCTATGTAATGAAGATAAGATTGAATATTGAGGGTAAATTTGTCTTTTAATTAGTTAAACAATTACTTTCCTAGGAATATACTTACGTAAATGACATGGCAAAGACAAGTCACGTTTCGGGACTTATTCGGTTACTCTATCATTATTCTATATATATTTATATATTTTGAAAAATGAAAGATGATGATGATTGTGGTGGTCGGCGGTGGTTATGGTTGTTCATAAAGGGGATAAGGAAAGGCCAAAAAAAAAAAAAAAATCCTCTGTGCGGCGGCGGCAGCGTTTGTTCATTGAGAGAGATGAGAGAAAGGAAGAAAAAAGGAAAGGAAAAAAAAAGAGTTTGGATGGTGTTGGGTTATGAACGGTTGGAGCGGCGGCGATATAGAGAGAGAAAGGGGGGAAGGGTAAGTTGTGGTTAGTGGTGGTGGTGATTGTTTAAGAATGGTTTGGAAGGCAATTTTCATAATGTGGAGGGGTAATTTAGACTCAAATGTACAGCGTTTGTCTAATACAAAATTATTATTATAAAGTTAACATATTTGTAATATATTTCTTTAAAAGTGACACTTTTTTTCCATTTTTTTGAGACATAGTTGTATCCAACATAAATTGTTGGATCCAAGGACAAAATAATTATTTAAGTAATATAAGTATTTTAGCAAATATTTTGTCAAATTGATAGAAAAATTGTTTTGCCAAATAGATAAAATTCTTTTTCTTCTCTTCCCTCCTCTTCTCTTCATAGGCATTAGCAGACCCAGACCAAAACCAAGATCATGTTGTTATCCGTACTTCAGTGATGCTCATGACACAAGGTCTGAGAATAAACGGGGCCCACTGCTCTGTAGAAGCTTGCATTGTCCGAATGGGCCTAAAGCTCTTCAAGGCACTGTCAATTTATGGAGAAGAAAATGACACGTGACTTGGAAGTTTGAAAAGAAACAATTGTTCAGATAGAGAACTAGGTGACCAAAGTTGTCGTCCAAACAAGTTATAGAGCCCTATCACTTTAATTTGTGGCTAACAAATGTAGAGTTCGGATAGGGCTTTTATGGTTGGTTCTGCTGCCATATTTGTCATACCCAACAATTTCTTAGTAATAATAATAATAATAATAATATAAAATAGTATTTACTTCATCATATACTGAGAAAGTAAGGAATGGCATGCACCAATTTGGGTCACAAAGGCTCGGTAAAATATGCCATTAAAGTCAGTATAAACAGCTCCCTAGCTTTAAATTATAAGGATAGAGTCAGCAATTGTGACATGAGATTTTGGGAAATTTTTATTTATAATTGGATGTAAATATTAAAGTTATGCACTTTTCAAAAATTTAAATCAAATGTTTTAAGTTCAAACTTCATCGTTATTCAAATTAAAAATTAAAAACCACACTTTGTTTTACAATCACGACGAAAATCAAAGAGTTTCCCACATATAAAAAGTAAACCTAAATTACAGGTTATCAAGCCCCCCAATTCTTTACACCTCTCATTCTTTCTTTCGATTTTGACTTTTAATTTTTTTTTGTCCCAAGTTACAAATTCTAAAACCCTTAATTATTTGGTTACAACTGAGACACACTGAAGAGTCGGGTGACCTAAAAGGCAAAACTAAAGTATGATGTCAACAAAATAAATAAATAAATAAATAAATATATTATACATTCGACCACAACTTCATATTGAAGATGATTGTATGCACGTTAAATGTACCCCAATCAGGTGTAAGTGTACATATACGTAAGGTTATAGAGAATCAGTTGATTTAGTTTGTTTTTTTTTTTTTTTTTCTGTCTGGGAACTATTGATGATAATAGTGGTTGGTGACTCTGAATTGGAATGGGATAACGAAAAAGATCAACCTTGCTCACCACAAAACCAGAAATATTAATATATATATATATATATATATATATATATATATATATATATTAACCACCGAAAACTCATCCAACATCACCCCAGTGAAGAACAGAGCAGAAGGAGGAGGCAGTCAGGGAGAGAAAGGGGGGAAATGGCAATGACAATGGCACTTCGAAGACTTTCCTCATCGGTTGAGAAACCAATTCAACGCATCTTCAGTGGTGGCTCCATCTATTACATGGTTTGTCTTTGTAATCTCCAAATGAAAATTTTGTATTTTCATGAATTTAATGACTCTCTGCTTCTAATGTAGACCTCTCTACCCAATGAAGCTGTTTACGAGAAGGAGAAACCTGGTGTCACTGTAAGTCTCTTTATATTTCTTCACATCTTCTTTTTCCTGTAGTATTTCTGTGTGTATATAAACGTACGTATGTGTGTGTGTTTTTGTGCTTGTGTCAAATCTTACATAGAACCATATAAATTAATGCAGTGGCCAAAGCAGTTAAATGCTCCCCTAGAGGTGGTTGATCCAGAAATTGCTAACATTATTGAGCTTGAAAAAGCAAGACAATGGAAGGTAACTCTCTCTCTCTCTCTCTCTCTCTCTCATACATAGATATACATAAACACATACTCCCTCATCACAGACTTGCACTTACGTTTGGTTGCTGGGAAAGTTGAGTAAGAAAAATGGGATATCAAATTTTGGATTATATTGTTAATCTTTCAAGAAATGAATTGTTTCGCTTTAATTACTCGAAATGGTTATTATATTTTAAGTTTGGGAGGAGATAATTCATCAGGTGACAAAATAAACAAATTTACGAGGAAACAGCCTCGTGCATAGGTAAAACTAAGTACATCTGGCTAGACGCTGCAACGGGGAGTCTCGTGATTCTACATCTTTCGTTTTCCTGCATTTGTGGAGTCTTCAAATTGAGTTGTGGAATTTGATCTCTTACTGAATGGATGGATACCGTTTTTTTGTGAAGGGACTTGAACTGATACCTTCAGAGAATTTCACGTCGGTCTCTGTCATGCAAGCAGTTGGATCTGTAATGACGAACAAGTATAGCGAAGGATATCCGGGTGCTAGATACTATGGAGGAAATGAGTATGTGGATTACTCCATTTATTTCATCTTTTCTCCTAAATTTTCTCCACATATGTGAAATTTTTTTTATCATCTGCAAATGTCAGCTAGCATGAGTCTACACACAAACTTAAATTGTGAACATCCTGGTTTATTATGATTATGAAACAATGATAATTTTTGTATTTCAGGTACATTGACATGGCAGAATCCTTATGCCAAAAGCGTGCTTTGGAAGCATTTCGGTTGGATCCTGCAAAATGGGGAGGTAATTACTGGTTACATAATAAAACGTGTGGGCAAGAAAGCATTAACAGACATCATTGGATATATATATATTATTAAAAGATTTGAGTGATTTTTATTTCTTTGGGATTTTTCTAACACCTATTTTATATATATATATATATATATATATATATATATATATATTTATAGACTAGAAGGAAAAAAGAAACCATTAATTTTGACATCCAAAGAGGGACTTGTTCATCTTAGAAGTATATATTCTTAGCAAAGGAAATTTTAATAAGCACTTGAGGAGAGTTGCAAAAGTAGAATGGTTACCTGCCCCCAACACCAGAGAGGGACAGACACCGCGCATTTCTGAAACCTCCATTTCTTTGTATGACAGATGATGTGGTAGCTAGCTTCTTAAAATGTCTAATCGCGTTTTATGATGCAGTGAATGTGCAGTCTTTGTCCGGTTCCCCAGCTAATTTTCAAGTATACACTGCATTACTGAAACCTCATGAAAGAATCATGGCACTTGATCTTCCTCATGGTGGGCATCTTTCACATGGCTATCAGGTGCTTACAACTTGCAATTTGTTTTTCCACTTAAATAACTAATTGTCCCGGCCTGCTTCCATCTACATTATGAACAGCCTATATGTATGTTATGACATATGTGTAACGGAGGGTTTTGCCTTACAAGGTTGTAGTAGGAATTGTTAGTGCAATTCAGACTTAATATTTCCTATGATTCTCATTCACATTCCCAGGCTCAAAAAAGGCGCGTCTTGTATTTTCTAATCTTTTATTCGTATCATTTTTTTTTACTTAATGACTACTAAATTAACAAGTTCTATAGCATTAAATCGTATTGTTTAACCTTGTGAAATATTTGACAAAATTCATAAATTTATTGTTCACTACTAACATTAACTGCAATTATTGCTGGATTATGAATATATATAATAATATATTGTTAAATATGCATTATTATATACATGCGCCTTATTTCGATCAGGCTTGCGCCTTGTACTGTGCCTTGCGCTTAGGCTCCAGAAAGCCTTTGGCGCCTTAGTGCGCCTTGAGCCTTTAACAACTATGGGTACCATCTAGAAGATTAATAGCTTTGTCGAACTGCAATCATTTGAAAAGAAGATATATATGATTATGTTAGTTACACATAAGAGTTTCTTATATATGATTATGTTACTTTCACATAAGAGTTTGTTATATATGATTATGTTCTACTCGGTTTTTCTCTCTTCTATTGTACAGACTGACACAAAGAAGATATCTGCAGTTTCAATATTTTTTGAGACAATGCCATATAGATTGGATGAAAGCACTGGCTATATTGACTACGACCAGGTAACTTTCTACTTTTCTAGATATATGCTGCATTGTTTTGTTGTATTGTAATAATTAATAACAGAGGGAGATCAACTGAATATATTCTACGAGGGGAAGTCGTCAAAATAAATTTTGGCGCCCATTATAGTTTTGTTTAAGCTTGTGTATATGTATGTATTATATAACTGTATTTGTTAGAACAATACTTTTGTGATGTAAAAGTTATTGAATGGCAGTTGGAGAAAAGTGCCACACTCTTCAGGCCAAAACTGATAGTTGCTGGAGCTAGTGCTTATGCACGTCTCTATGATTATGCGCGTATTCGCAAGGTAATTACTCCATATTATATGTCTGCTGCACTTAGCTTGATTTGAAATGTGAAGTTGGAAAACTTCAAGCTTAGATTTTCCATGTTTTTTTACAGGTATGTGACAAGCAGAAAGCTATTTTGCTGGCAGATATGGCACACATCAGTGGTTTGGTTGCGGCTGGTGTCATCCCGTCACCATTTGACTATGCTGATGTTGTCACCACCACCACCCACAAATCGCTTCGTGGTCCACGAGGTGCCATGATTTTCTTCAGGAAGGGAGTGAAAGAGATCAACAAACAAGGGAAAGAGGTAAGTTGTGTGAAGAAAATATATCCATTTTTTTAAAATTTTATAGTGACTGAGATCATGGTTGGTCTTCCTGAAGGTGTTGTATGACTATGAAGATAAAATCAATCAAGCTGTCTTTCCTGGACTTCAAGGTGGCCCACACAATCACACAATTACCGGCTTAGCAGTTGCATTGAAACAGGTTGGTCATCGACAAAAACATCGTCAAATCTCATCTATCATTTGTGAATCATATGATGATTAATCCTATAGTTGGAAGGTAGTGCAGGATAATGATATAAGCAATTACAAATGTATTAATGTGCAGGCTGTGACTCCAGAGTACAAAGCTTATCAAGAACAAGTTCTGAGTAATTGTTCAAAGTTTGCACAGGTACGACTCAATAATTTATTTCTTCCTCACTCACCAGAATACAAATTCTGAGTCTTATGGACTCTAATTTTGCAGACTTTAGTTGCACACGGCTATGACCTTGTTTCTGGTGGAACCGAGAACCACTTAGTTTTGGTGAATTTGAAAAATAAGGTAAAAAGAAGATTCAATCCCTGATTTATTAAGATACTAGTGTAAAGTGCATAAGAATTAAGAGACGGGATTTTTACTCCACAGGGTATTGATGGTTCAAGAGTTGAAAAGGTGTTGGAATCTGTTCACATTGCAGCCAACAAAAACACTGTTCCAGGAGATGTTTCTGCCATGGTTCCTGGTGGAATCAGGATGGGTATAGGCCCTCCTCCTCTTCCTTGATCCGATCCGATTTCACTTCTGGAATTCATAATTTTAACTCTCACACACTCCTCCCTGATTCAGGAACCCCTGCTCTCACCTCAAGGGGATTTGTTGAAGAGGATTTTGTCAAAGTCGCTGATTTCTTTGACGCTGCTGTGAAGTTGGCTCTCAAGATCAAGACTGAAGCCACAGGTTAGTTTGGACTCTTTTTGCAGCATGTTTATGTGTTTTTTACTCTTACTATCCCCTAGTGCTACAATGTCCTAACTTGGGGAGCCTTGTGTGCCAGGGACAAAGTTGAAAGACTTTGTGGCGGCAATGCAGTCCAGCGCTCCCATCCAATCTGAGATTGCGAAGCTACGTCATGAGGTTGAAGACTATGCAAAACAATTCCCAACAATTGGATTTCAAAAAGAAACCATGAAATACAAAAACTGAGGGACGAATTCTACCATGCCAGGTATATTTAGCACGCGTTGGTTAACTGCATCCGTCATTTCCTCTACTTGCAGTAGGTGTAAAGCCATACACAGTTTGAGCTGATTGTTTGTTGGTGTGGTACAGGCACCATAACCCCAAAAGAGATGGTTTCCACTAGACGAAGATGGTTGTGAAGGATGATGAAAGCTATATATATATATATATATATATATATATATATATGTTAAGAATGTAAATTTACAACTTTATAGCTATAAAATCTAGCAGAATCCTGTTTTCGATCTTCATAGAAATGCCTATCTATCTATATTAACTCAGGCTCTGCAAACCAAAATAATTAACTTGCCTTCATTTCTCATAAGTGCCTCTTCATTCATCTACTGTAATTGTTGATGTGAATGTGATGCAGGTTTGGGGAACTCTTTAAGTTTTAGTTAATTGAAATAGGCACTTCATATTTCTTGTTTAAGTGGTAGTCTATGTTTGAGAGCATGGAATTATGGATTTGAAACCTCTAAATGTTCATCAAAATTTTCAATACCTTCATCCTATATGAATGAGGTTTGGCATGAGATTTATTTTTTATTTTTTTGGGGTTCGTCAATCACGAGTCATTTCTCTTTTAACTTTCTAAAATTATTTTTAATAACTTCTATCACATATTATTTTTGGTCGATTTGGTTGTGTCTTACCTTTTGTTCAATCTAATTTCTCTCTCAATTCTCACTTTCCATGTCAATCTAATCTAATTTCATTATAAAGTTTATATTTTAGGTTTTTGATATTTTTATTTTTTGTCATCTATAACATCACTAGTTTACTTACCAATAAAATAAAACACATTAGTCTCTCCATTTTACTTGGTTTAGTAAATTAGTGAAGTAGAATTGAAATTTAAAAAATAGAAAAATTCAAAAGAAAATGAAAAAATAAACATATTTTCCAACAACTGGTCATTTATACATTCATTTTAAAACATGGTTAGCATCCTCATAAGTCATTATAATTCTCATAAAATCAGTATTCAAAACTGCATTCAAAATCAACTAACATGCTGGAAACAGTCCACCTTTTATACCATGATTTTTAGGGTCAAAATGGATCCAATTCATGTGAACTCATCATCCAATTAGGTTCACCTAAAATTCCCCTCTTGCCCACCAAGCAGATTTCACATAAGTTGATTTCAAACTCAAGCTTTGTCAAGGCTACCAAGAATCAAGCTTTCCCTTATTATCCAAACCCTAGCTACATTTTCAGTTTGATAATATCACAACTGTCCTTGAATCAATGTTAGTCGTGGCCATTGGGTTTTCTGATACCTGTGCTAGTACACGGAGATATTTTTTGGAAACGAAATATGTTCAGGCTGCAGCTGCTGCATTGGTCATAATACATACAAATGTTGATACAAATACGAATCCAAAGAAAGTGAATGCTCTGAATTCATCAACACACACTACCGAAGAAAATGGTGACAAAAGTGAATGAGAAGCTAATACATTTCTAATACAACTCCTGGATTGCCACTAACATTCACAACAAAGATGTACAAAACGGTATTAACAACTTTTACAACAACTACATTCCGAAAGTTGGTGCATAGATCATGTAACCAACTACTTCTCTATAGGATCACCCACCCCTCCATTCCTCTTCCAAACCAGAATGAATAGAATATTGAAAATGAATTTTCTAATATGAGGGCACTAACACTAAACCTATGTACATTTGGCGGGAAATCTACTAACGTAGACAGAAGAAAGAATACAAAAGCTGAAGAAGCCTATACAAAATTAGAGGGGTGAGAATTAATGCTAGGGGAATCAAAAGAAATCGATCCTGAAGGGAGCACTTGGGACTTATTTTGGACAGTTAAAGGCTATGCTGCTGAGCAAACACGGTTAAAGCTTAGAATGCTCTAACCTTGACCCACCATGATGCATCATTGTTCCCGTGCAAGAGTCTTCGCAGCCACTCATTCCAATATGATGACTCTCATGCGGATGTTGGCTCATGAGCATTCCATGCATCCTGTATTGAAGATTAGCAGGAAAGAATTAGAAATTTTTTTTAATTACAAGCTTATAGGAATTTGGTTTAGTGGGGGCACATTAGACATGATAAATTTATTATTATCATCATCATCATCATCAACTAACGTTGCAACAAGACAAGAAGCCGAAACGTAGAAGTGCAGTAACGGTGCATTAATCAAAATTCATATAGTTTGTAATAATTCAAAAAATATTGCTGTAAAAAAATTTAGAAATATACACTACAGACATTAAGGACCCTTTAGGCAACATTATAATTGGATTTTTTTTTTTTTGTTCTTTCCGATTTGGGCCTTTTTTTTTTTTTTAAGACATGTGCATTATTGAGCAAAGCGTTACAACATGTATTTTCATGATTTGTTTATCTTTTTCACCAATTTTCTAACAAAAATAGAAAACGATTGCCAAAACAAACCCCAAGTGTATAACATTTCAGTTATAATTTTCAAGAATAAGAAAATAAAAGAGAAAAAGAAGGTTGGACATATGTCATACATGAATGCAAGATGATGAAAAATTCAAGAAGAAAAAAGAAAAACAAAGAAAAAGAAAATAACGAGTACAAAGGAAAAGAAAGAAAAAATTAGAGGAATTTTTTTTAAAAGGAAAATTTTAGGGGGGGCGGGCGGCATTTGTAAAATTTTATAAATTATATCACTGTATGTAAATAATTTAGTGGGGCCAGCATGGGCCCAGGGGAGTTTGTGCCTCCCCTGGGCCCATGCTGGCTCCACCCTTGGTTAGACATGAGTCCTCATTTACACAAACATGTTAACAGAATAAGAAAGTACACAAATTACATACCTTCTGATGCTGGCCAAAGTCAGCACTGTAGGATGAAGTTGATATGCAGCCCTCAGTAAATGAAGAAGACTGTGTTCTTAACTGTGGACATGACTTGCGCAAAAAGTGACGATGTATATCAGGACTTTCAGACCATGGGCTTGGCCTGTCACCAACCCAATGCTCGGTACTGAGCTTGAATAATAATGCTGATGGGGAGTGATCATGAGACATCAAGTAGAACGAACTGTGGTGCTCCTCCCTGGAAAATGTATGACCTAAGTTCCAATGTCCTTCTGAAAATGATCTGGTACCAAGGTCTTGGTTTTGTTGGATTATGCAAGATGATCTAGCATAGGACTGACCATTGCTAGGGCTACAGAATAAGGGAGTACATTTACTGTGTTCCAGATTTGGTAACTGCCTCCTGTATGACGCTTCCAGTTGAGGTGTCATCACCCAGTCTTCTACCGCAATTCCTTGCTGAGAAGCAAATTCCATTATCCTTTTCTTGTCAACTCCTAACTCCATCAGCAAATTCCAGAGCTTTTTCTGTGCTTCACGTTGGTTATGAATTATTTGATCTCTCATTGCCATTTCTAACTGAAGCTCAGCATTAGCCATTCCCTACATTTATTTGACAACTGTTAAGAGTCTGATAGCAAAGAACATACAGAACAACACCCACCCACCCCCCCCCCCCCCCCCCCCCCCCCCCCCCGGCGGCCCCGCGGGGATGTCTCCCTCTCAAAATATATATATATATAAATATAATACCTGGAAAATATATATATATTTAAATATAGCTCTCCAAAGTCTTTGATCTACAGTTATTTTTCTCTTCCCATTGGTGGACAATGACGTGGTAGGTTGCCAGAATAAATGTACTATTATGATGTGAGACATGGTTGTGTCAGAAAAAGAGAACAAACATTAATTTGCAGCCAAAAAGAGCAAAAAAATAAAATAAAATACTACACCTCTTTGGTAAGTTGAGGTGACAAATGCAAACTTAGTATTTTTTTGAATCAGTAAAGGAGATCATTTCCCCTGTTTTAGTTAATAAAAGAAACTTCATTTCAACCCCTTTACTAGTTACCATCCAGTTTCAAAGACCAATTCCATTTATACACCCACGTTCATGGTCTTTGCTGTATAGAAGGCAGATTAGTATCTATTTACCAGAAGCCTGTATTGACTGAGAATGCGCAAGTAGGTTTTGTTGCCGTTGTTACTAATGGCTTCCTCAATCATATTTTGCAGTTGACAACGGTGCTTCTCATTTGCTTCAATGTCCTACAAAAAATAGAATTTGCACCACTGTTAAGAGCAAAATGAAAATCAGAAACTTTATGAGCCTCAGAAAGAGCAGGAGCATAACCTTTCGGTACTGCACACCAGCCTCATCATTGTCACGAATGTTATCAAGAATCACTTGCCGCCTCGCTCTTAAAGCCTGTACAGCTGCCCCATCTTTCTCAATAGCCTGTTATAGAGAGAAAAATGGTACTATGTCATTTGAATGATTTAGGCATAAATCAATTTCTAATATTGAAACCAGTTTCTAAGATATTAAAAAAGTGATTGTATCTACAGGGTGGGGGCAAAGGATGAAAGAGAAATGATGAAAGCCTTCGCTTTTGTTAGAATTTCTAACAGTATTTGAAGTAAATGCCAGAATAGTTCACAATAAAAAGGTGCAGCCATGTCCAGTACTCCTATATCTTAAAAGGAGGTCCCTTAGCAGGATTCCAACATTATAAGAGACATATACGCTTGAAAATTCCAAAACTAAGCCTTCAGAATTTAAAGATATACACTACCAATTTCAGAAAATTTCAAACCCAAGGATAAAATAGGAAACTTAAATTTTCTATATAAGACTAATTCAAAAAGGACTTTTCAAAAAGGGAAGAGGGATAGCTTTATTTCCTCCCTAACAACTCTTGGATGGAGAGAGTAACTATAGAAATTTTGAAAACAGTAATCCTGTTAATGAAATTTTGGAACATCTAAATCCAAAAGAAATCTCAGAGTTTTGGCACTGTGAAGAAAATTAGCAAAAAATCTAACAATTACCTAACAGCAGAGCCTAGATACATTAAATAGATTTTTGAGCGAGAATGAAGTTGATGTTATGGTACATTAATTCTGATACAGTGTCTATACTTGATTCAAGATAGATAATGAACAAGGATCCTTCAGCTTTAATTATTTATCGGATGCTGAGGAATCAATCGGTTTTATGTTGGCTCAAGATAATGAAAAAGGATCCTTCAGCTTTTAATTGTTGGGTATGCTTACTACATCCATGTAACATCAAATCAACATGGAAACTCCTGGAAAGATATGGACAATAGAGGTTGTCGTGAATATAGGCTGTTTACAGCCTGTGATTAATTAGGAAAGTTGACTATTCTGCTACATGTAATCTGCTAGCTTGATTATAGGAATATTCTGATGCATGTAATCTGCTAGCTTGATTATAGGACTATTCTGATGCATAAAATCTGCTAGCTTGATTATAGGATTTTGATTAGCTTAATTTCTGGTAATTGGCTAAATTAATGTACTGATTGTATGTCTTGGGTTCCTATATAAACCCACATGTACTCACATCTAAGAGATATACAAGAATTCTTCTCTTCTATTTTCTTGCTCTTATTTACAACATGGTATCAGAGCAAAAATGCTCCTGAGACCCAACTCCCGTCTTCCTCTTCTTCACCCATTCTCCACCATTTCTCTCTATTGTTCTCACATCAAACGTCTGGTGCCTTATAAGAATTCTAGTTTGTTATTTTTTAACATTTTTTATTTTACTGCCAGAGTTCTATTTAGTTTTACGGTTTCTTATGTAAACAGTTTAATATCTATGTAAATAGGTTACAGCTTCATCGACTCTATGGCATAGCATAGCCTTGCTTGGAAAGAATCCTCTTGCTGATCTCCTTGCTTGGATCCTATTCTTACTCGGATCTCTTCTCGTTCTTGCTTCGTCTCCATGGGTGACAAAACAGATGTTAAAGATACTCTATTCTTTGGTTCCATGACCAATATCAAACTCAAGGGTCCCAATTACCTTCAATGGGCCCGAGTTGTACAAGTTGCTTTGAAAGCTCGAGGGAAGTTCTCTTAAGTCAACCAAACCGACTAATGCCAAATTGGTTGATGCTTGGGAAAAAGAAGATCGCTTGAGGGAAGTTCTCTTTAGACGAATAATTGGTTATGGAATAGTATGGAGCCCGAGGTCTTCAACAATGTCTCTTTTCTTGAAACCTCTAAAGAGATTTGGGATGCCCTGAAGGAGATGTATTCGTCTAAGCAAAACATCTCTCGGGTTCATCAGCTTTATGAGGATCTTTTTTCCACTATATAAGGAGATCATTCTATTGAAGATTACTACTCCACCTTGAAAGGTATATGGGAGGAATTGAACGTGTATCAGCCATTGACTACTGATATGGAGACTCAAAAACGATACAAGGAAGAATTTCGCATGGCAAAATTTCTTTCTGGACTTCAACCCGAATTTGCTCCTATTAGTTCTCAGATTCTCGCTGGAACACTTTTGCCATCTTCTAGTGAGGCCTATAATCGTGTTTGGCGGGCCAACCTATCTGCTCCAGAGAAAGCCGATCGCTCTGCCCTTGTAGCTCCCACTGGGCGCTCTGATAATTCCCATAATGGTCGTGGGGGACATGTTTCAAAAGGTCAAAATTTTCAAGGTGGTTGAAGTGGCCTCAAGAAATGTACTTATTGTAATCGCATCAAACATACCGTTGACAAATGTTGGAAACTCCATGGCAAGCCTACATGGGCTAATCATGCTACTATTGAGGGGGAGATCTCCACTCCTGTTGATGAAGAGACTATAGCTCTTTCCAAAGCAGAGTGTGACTCACTGATGGTGCGCACTCATGTTTCATCTACCTCAACCGCCACCTTGGGTGCTTCAGGTAACACTTGCCTCCATTCCTCATCCAATTAGCCATGGATTATTGATTCTGGAGCCTCTGATCATATGACTAGTAATCCCTCTGTTCTTTCTAATCTTTCAAGTACTCCCTCTCCTTCCTTTGTTACAATTGCTAATGGTTCTAAATCTCCAGTTCAAAGTTTGGCACAGTTACTACCTCTCATCAAACTTTCTCTTCTGTTTTATACCTACCTCAATTTCCTTTTAATTTATTATTTGTTAATAGAATTACTTCTGTTTTAAATTGTTCCGTTACCTTTTATCCTTCTCATTGTGTTTTTCAGGATCTAAAGACGAAGAGGACAACTGGTGGGGGTTATGAAAAGGATGGTCTCTACTACTTCCAACCCTCTCCCATACCAACTTCCTCTGCCTTTCATACCACGACCTCTCCATATCAGTGGCACTGTAGGCTTGGACATCCATCAACTGCCAATCTTCGTCTTTTAGTCCCTTCTTTACCTTCGTTTTCTACTTTTAATTATGAAACGTGTGAGCTCAGTAAACATCATCGAGCCACTTTTAAATGTCGACATGATGGTCCTTGTTTACATCCTTTTGAGTTGGTTCACTCCGATGTTTGGGGTCCAGCTAGAACAACTGATTTGTCTGGTGCACGTTATTTCATTTCTTTTATTGATGATCATTCCTGTTTGACTTGGTTATATGTTCTGAAAGATCTCTCTCAAGTGTTTGATGCATTTAAATCGTTTTATGCTAAAATCACTAATCAATTTAATGCCAAGTTACACATTCTTCGTACTGATAATGCTCGAGTATAAAGTTCATAGCTTTCAGCACTTCTTTGAGTCGAGGGGTATCACTCATCAAACCTCATGTGTTGATACACCTCAACAAAATGGAGTCGTTGAACGAAAGAATGGTCCAATCCTTGTTGTTGCCCGTGCACTCATGCTTCAAATGAATGTGCCTAAACACTTCTTGTGCAAGTTTACGGTGTGATGAGAGAGAGAGAACAGATGGAGGCGCAATAATACTTCTTCTCATTATCATTAACCCTAAACATAAAAGGGTTTATGTATAAAGACAAGAAAGGCGAATTTGCATAATGGCCACAAACTCTATATACAATTACAATCTGACCCCAACATAAATATATATATATATATATATATATATATATATATATATATAAATGTTCCAACACTCCCTTTCAAGCTGGAGAATATATATCATATAATCCCAGCTTGGAACAAATTGCCTTTAACCGATTATGACCAAGAGCCTTAGTAAACATATCAGCTAATTGATCTTCAGACTTCACAAATGGAGTAAAAATATTCCCACTCAATATTTTCTCTCGAGTGAGGTGACAGTCAACTTCAATATGCTTGGTTTTTTCATGAAATACTGGATTGGATGCAATGTAGACAGTTGCTTGGTTATTACAGAACAATAGAATAAGAGTCTTGACTATTAACCCAAGTTCCTCAAGAAAATGTTGTATCCACATTAACTCACTAGAGGTATGGGCCATCGCCCTGTACTCTGCTTCAGCGCTAGACTGTGCTACCACTGTTTGCTTTTTACTTTTCCATGTAACAAGATTTCCACCAACAAATGTGCAGTAGCCTGTAGTAGATCTCCTATCTGAGGGAGAACCAGCCCAGTCAGCATCTGTGAAACCTTCCACCCTAAGATGTCCATTTGGTTTATATAGCAACCCAAAACCTGGAGCTTGCATGACGTATTGGATAATCCAAAGAACTGCATACAAATGTGGCATCCTAGGAGATCCCATGAACTGACTTACGACACTAACTGCATATGAGATATCCGGTCGAGTGATAGTGAGATAAATTAATTTCCCAACAAGATGTCGATATATGCCAGGATCATCAAATAAATCACCCTCATCTGACAAGAGTTTTGTATTTGGATCCATAGGAGCATCAACCGAACGACCACCCAACATACATGTTTCTTCTAATAAATCCAATACATATTTTCTTTGAGATAAACTTATACCTTTCTTGGATCTAGCAACTTCAATACCCAAGAAATATCTGAGTTGACCCAAGTTTTTAGTGTGGAACCGATTTTGTAGAAACAACTTCAATTTAGAAATACCTTCAGAATCATCACCTGTGATCACAATATCATCTACATATACCACAAGGAAAATGAAACCAACTAACACTGAATGGTCTGTCTGACATCTGTGAAGACCAAATGCTAATACTGCATCAGAGAACTTTCTAAACCAATCCCTTGGAGATTGTTTCAATCCATACAGGACCTTCCTAAGGCGACAAACGGTATGACGATACTCCCCCTGAGCAACAAACCCAGGTGGTTGTTCCATATAAACTTCTTCAACTAAGTCGCCATGTAAGAAGGCATTTTTCACATCTAATTGAAACAACGGCCAGTTACGATTGGCAGCAATGGAAATAGGGACCCGTATAGAAGAAATTTTTGCAACAGGGGAAAAAGTCTCATCATAATCAACACCATAAGTCTAGGTGTACCCCTTTGCGACAAGA